TAAATGCTGGATGTCCAGCATAGTATTCCTTTGCTGAAAATTGAATTAGACTCCTTACTTGAGGTTAATTTGTTGGAAGAAAATAAATTTGATACTCATGAATTTTCTCCTATATTACATGATTATAGGACACCCACGGGACAGCTACGACATGTGGCATTGAGGCATAATTTTCGAGAGGCCAACCGTTATTCACAGAATTGGTGAGAAAGTGCTGCGGCGAGATGAAATCTTTTGTTATTTACCCCCACTTGGCCTTCTTTTGTATTCCCTTTTCTTTTGGAAGACAATATCAATAAGTACGCATCTCTCAAGTATTGCTGGCTTTGCTGTATTAACTTCCTACCATGATTTTCTAAAGAAATTTTTTAATCCATATTTATATATTGGATTATTCTATTTCTATGTCCTTAGGACACATGATAAGAGTTGGACCTGAATGTTAGTTGTTTGAAAAATTTTAAAATTTCTTTGCTAAAGTTTCCTGAATTTAGAGGGAAATGATAATGTTTGAAATTTATAGTGGATCCACTGCTTATATTTTTTATACTTATTCTGGCACAGAATAGATAAAACCTTATGTATTTTATTGCTATAACAACCTTTAACTTACTCCTATATTATAAGAAAGAGAAAGGGAAGGATCAAAGGGGTGATAAGGATAATTTATAGGGATAATTTCAGAAACCTGCCCTGAGGTTTTCACAATTACACTAACCTCCCCTGGCAGAACTTGGGACCCAATTACTGACATCATATAATGCAAAATTACTATTATACCCAAGACATTGTGTGTTATTATAAGACTAAAATCTAATAATTAAGTGATTAGGGTCCAAATTAAATCTTTCAATTTCATTAACCAACTTACCAGTTGGAATCTTGCTAATCAAAAATCCATTTAACCAACTGGCGCCAATTTCGTTCACCAATATGGCACCATTTTGCTAATTGACATCAGGGACAAGACAACAAATCAGTCTTTTATATATTGTGAAGAAGGCATCAAGGAGAAGAAAGAAACATAGATCTTCGGGTTTTGATTCTAATAAAGTGCTGGATTTTTAGTCATTTCATATCTAGCTGCAATGAATTGAATTAATTATTGTCTAAGAAATGGTTATTTGTAATTGTTCACTCATTTATCATTTGACATTTCTTGCTCTTCCATTTTTCCCAATGTTTATGAATGTATGATCTTTCTTCTTCCAATCTTAAATTGTGGTGGTTTCATGTTTTACTAATAAAGATCTTCATCATTGGCCTTAGTTGCCTCCTATGGTATTTCATTGGTGCTATCTTGCTTTGTGTCGGTTTATTTTACTTGCACACTGAATTTTCTACTTGCCTCCTTTGTGTCGGTTTTTTTACTTGCACCCATTCATGTTTTACGTACCCTAAAGGTCTCAAAAAACATTCAGCACGATACTCAATGAGAAGTGGACTAAAAACTAAATCATGTCAGTTGAGTTTGCCACCAACAAGGACCTATAGCCCATCCAGATCCAGATGCTAAGTCCGAGATTCTCATCTCGCCGCTAGCATAAATTATCCTTATGACCCCTTATAAATTAGGGATAATTTCAGAAATCTCCCCTGAAATTTTTAACAATTTCATTGACTTCTCCTGAGGTTTCCACAATTACACTGACCTCCCTTGAGTTTTACGATTTGTAACAAAATCAGCCCATGATGTCACAAGTGAACATAAAAAAGTGTTTTTTGGAAAGAGAGGGAAATTTGCTCCCATAAATGCCCCTAAGATATGTATACAAGTTATATTGGTGAAATAATGAAAACTAATAAAAACCAGAAATAAATTAGAAAAAGTGAGGGAATGTTAGTGAAATAAGGAAAAAGAGTCATTGACTTTATTTGCACAAAGCTGTAGTAACGGCTACTGGCTACTGCTATGTTTTGCAATGTTGAAGAATATGACACAACTGACACATGAAGAGATATTCGAACTTAAAATAAGAAAGTCATAAAATTATATGTGCACATATCTTAGCAGAATAGCTAAAACTTTAGGGGTCATTTTGCTCTACTCTTTGATATTGAAACTTGGAAGCAGGTAGTCTAACAGAGGTAACTGGTAAAGATCATGCATCAAACTTGGAAGGCTTTTTGAATTAATTTGTAGTTTAAACCATTTCAATCACAAAAGAACTAAATCAACCAATACACATATTACTATGAAAGACACTAAGTCTAAAATCTACAAACACAAATAACTATCAAATCATGTACACCTAATGAAAAATCAAATCCCAAATCACATTGCATGAAAACCAGATTAAAACAACTACCTGAACCATACTTTATTTAGAATATAATCCCAATACAGTCTAAACCCCATAATTCGCAAGTTTTATCTAAAAAATTCAGTGTCACTTAATTAACTTAAATGTTCAATTTTTGGTTATCAATAGGGGTGGGCGCAGGTCGGGTACCCACCCCATTCATCATTTCCATTTTTTAACCCTTACCCGCCCCGCATATCAGCAGGTACCCTATAATCGGGTACCCGTTGAGATAGAGTCGGGTCAACGGGTACCCGCCCCGCCCCATTTATTATTTAATTTTTAAAAAAATAATTTATACCAATTTAATTTTATATTTTACACATTCATCTAAGATTTAAGAAATGTTTTTTTTCTAAAAAAAGGTTTCCCACCAAGAAACAAGTATGTGAAGAAAATATAAGATAAAGGAAAAAAATTAAAAGAATTCAAAATCAATAAAAGTTTGAAATAAGTAGCACAATTTTTAATATATATGTTCCACATTAATTAAACTTTTTTCTATAAAATATAAGATCATGGCTTCTACAAATGAATTTTGTAAATAAACTATAGTCTCTCATATTTGTAATGCAATTTGTTCAATAAAATTATTTATTTAGTTCTTATTATTTTATAGTGTGTATATACGGGGCGGATCGGGTACCCACGAGTTTTTAATTATGTGACCCTAACCCGCCCCGCATCTTAGAGGGTACCTGATCCTCTTTTGATCCGATCAAATAATAAAAATCTGATATCCTAATTTTCGGATCGGATCTGATCTGATATGATGGGTTTTCGGGTTAGCGGATAAATTTTGCTCACCTCTAGTTATCAAACGGTTTAAATATGTTAAAATCTGATTTCATTAAGTTTAAGTGCTGAATTGGATTATCAAATAGGATGTGTATGTTTTCTGAAGACAAAACATCCCCTTGGACTGCTTCTTTTTTTTTTTTTTTCAAAACTTGACTGTATATAAAAATCTTGCCATTTGGATGGAACTAATTTTTGAAAACAGAAATTGCCAAATGCCATTTTTTCGTCCATTTTTATTTATTTTATTTATCTCACATAGACATTTATCCAAAAAGAAGCTAGAAAATTTTAGTAAAAATAATCAAAAAGGAAAAATGGATCATCAAGGCAAAAGGCTTTGGGGCAGTCTGGTTTTCTAAAACTTCACTCTAAAAGCAATCATTAGATTATCACTGTTCATGACTACAATAGTTTTCTTTATTTTTTGATGATTATGAAAGCAAACTAATTTGTAATATTGCAATAGAGATTCAAAATGCAGTGCCCCAAAAACCTCCGTACAAGACAAAACAAAAGAAATGTACGATGCAACGATGTTTTGCATATTGTTCTTGTTTGTTTTCATAACGTTAAACAAAGTAATCACACGTCAGTTAGCCAAAACCACTTATACTAGTTAATAAAGGTCTTGGCCTATTTCAATTACTGCCAATTGATTCTGAGATGGAAGTCGAGATTTTTTAATATGCAAAATTGTCATAACGAGTTGTATCAGAGTATATTGAATAAAAATTGGACTAATTTTGCTTGATATATTGCTATGCTTAAGTGCTGACTGGAAATGCTATTTAATTTGTACCTTGTTTACAATAATCTCATAGCTCCATCATCAAAGAAACCCCCACATCAGATTCTATTGAGACTGCATTCCCATCTCGCACAACAAGCAGAGAGAAATGTTGAATAAAAGGGCCATAGTGCAGAAGGGAAATAAGGAAAAAGCTGATGGAAAAAGAAAAACTATGCAGACATGAGCAAATGGTAACACAAGCTAGGGAGGAACTGAAAACGGATCAATAGGGATGGTAGAAATTAGTTCTGAAGAATCCACAAACTAAGTAGAGCATCACAACAGACCAACTTAAGCTTGTTGAATCTTCTCAAAGATGACTTTAAATTTGGTTCGAGAACTTTTCATGAACAAATAGGAGCTTTGGGACAAGTGCACAGGTACATTACCATTGCCAGTGGCTATTTTTCTAATGATTTTGCAGGTGATAAAGTTTTTACACTTCTTTAAGATTAGAAATATATCAGGCATACTTCATCAAAAGGTCTTTACTAAGTGAATTGTGATTTGCATCTTATCCCAGATGATTTTATTTGAATAAGATTATTTGATATCTTGGTTATGGAATGAAGCATAACTTTATACAGGCCTGAAATCTTGGTTTTGCACAATCATGCCTTCAGAATGGTTGCCATAGTTTCTGATAGAAATGGCTTCAAACCGTCGGGGTACGAGCATCATATCTCTTGCACCAATCAGTATTCAATCTATAAACATCGATTTGACCATAGAACCATGAAAGTTCACCACATATTGGCTCATTTGGGTCGTAGCTGTAGATCTTTGCTACCAGCAAATACAGTGGAACGAAAACTATTCACAATGTAGGGAAACAAGATCAACAAAATGCATGGCACATGAAAGCAGAATATTAGACATTGCCATCTGTAACGAATTACAGATTTAATCATCTGGCATTTAAGTTACATCCATCATCAGCAGTATGGTAATCAATTTGCCAAATAGTACATTCATTTGTTATTGAAGCAGCTTCCTTTACATATGTGGATTACACGCAGCAAGAAGTTCATGCTTCTAATAGTTCTAAAAAGGTCTACTCAAAAGCCCTCTGCATCTGAATTTGAGCTTACCGATGAAGAAAGATTCTAAATCTCTTCTAAAATAAGGATTTTCAGATCCACATTTCCCCAGTTCATCTGCTCTTCTTTAATCTGTTGAACCAAATTTCCAACAGAACCTGGACACCGATGTACCTGAATCAATTCAAGAGTTGGAATTTCCTCCAAACAAGAAGGTAGCTCCTCCAATTCCATGCAGCGGTGCAAAATTAATTTCTGAAGACAAGGGAGATGATCACTGGAGCATGTCCACCTGACAACGGGCAAGGCCTCCAACTTCAAGAATTTGAGTTTAGGGAATTCCCCTTCTTCCATGTTCCATATTTCTACCCTGTAGCCTTTTGCTCCCAGTAATTTAAGAACCTCAAGATTAGGTAGTCTTCCAATTGAGGAAATCGCACTCCAGGGAAATGCTTCAAGAGTCAACTTTTTAAGATTCAAGGGGAAATGGTACTCATAATGATTCTTGTTCACATGATAAAAAGACAGCTTGAGTGACTCCAGTCGCCATAGAAAGTCAATTGCCACAACCTTGTTCCAATCCCCAGAAGATTCTTCTGTTTCCCGGAGACTGCATTTTAGTTTGCGGATATTTGGAAACTTTTTCATTATCTTGTCCATGCTTTGCCCCAAATCAAGCACAAGAGCTGACATGGTGTCGAGGTTACACAAATCTGAGGAGCTCTCCCAGTTATCTTTGGCCAAACTAAGATCAAGAAAGCTACCACTTCCATGTAGGTACCTCAATGTCCGCATATTCCAAATGGTATCCGGGAGAAAAAGACTACCATGCGATAATTTTAAAACCAACGTTTCCAGGTTCCAGAGGTTTGCTATTGATGATGGGATGGAAGTCATGCTACCCCCAAATGCAAAGTACCTCAATTGAACAAGCAATGAAATTTCACCAGGAAAAACAAAACCGAGATTAAGTTTTCCCAAATCCAACACTCTCAGAAGTTTAAACATGCGCAAAATAAATGAGAAATTGTATGGTATTGCATAGTTCTCACTCTGGCTGGAGACCAGTAGAGAGCTTAGAAGGGGACAAAATAGCCTTGATTTCTGAAAATGCTTTGCTTTAGAATAAATAGACAACCGACGAGTATTACTTGGCTCATCAAAATTAGAGAGTCCAGCGTAACCACGTCTCAACTGCAGAAAATTTTCTTCTTTGGCTTTTCTTAGACAAAATTCATGCAACAAGTCATGAATGCGGCAAGTTTTCACTCCACCTATAGATTTTTGTTTGTCAACCATAACCAAGCTTCTCCCTATCAGATCCATTATATAGTCCTCAGCTATGTCCTCTAGACTCTTTACCTCTGTTTTTTGTACAAAGCCTTCAGCAATCCACAGCCGCATCAATCTCCAAACAGGAATCTCTTGGTCTTCTAAAAATACTCCAAAATATAGAAGGCATGGCTTCAAATAATTAGGTAAACTTTTGTAGCTCAGCTCCAACATATGCATGCAATGTTCTGTGCCGCAAACACTGCTTGAACTAAGACTTTCTGCCACTTTTTCCCAACCATCTTGCTCTAAGTTTCCAAGAATTCCAGCTGCGATCACAACTGTTAGAGGCAGCCCTTTACACCCTTTTGCTATATGCTTTCCAAGTAGCAATAGTGCCGGAGGATATCCTCCCCCTTCTATTAGTTTCTTCTGTAGTAATTCCAAGCACTCATCATCGGTAAGTTGGCGAAGATGGAGAGGTCTACTTGCAGGTTTAACTTCCAAAGCCAACTTAGAAATTCGACTTGTTAAAAGAATTCTACTTCCATTGGCATCATCTGGGAACAACTTTTCCAACCCATTCCAGGCCTCAATGTCCCAAAGATCATCCAGAACAAGAAGGTACCTGTATCCCTTCAATCTGTGGTAGAGCTCTTCAGCAAGATCATCTTCTTTCATCCCAGAATATTCATTAGCACCCACAGGACGAATGCAAACCAATATCTGAATTAAGACATCTTTCTTTCCATATACTTGAGAAATGCAACACCAAGCACAAATCTGGAAGTGGCATATAATGAAAGGATCATGATAAACTTTGTTAGCTAATGTTGTCTTACCCAGTCCAGGCATGCCAACAATCGAAACAATGTCCAACTGTCCCGATCCTCTTGTAAGTCGGCAGATTATTTGCTCGGCCTCATCATCAAATCCCACCACAACTTGATTGAATGTTGGTATAGTCCTTTGTGATTGTGAATGCTGTAAAGCCTGGGCAGCCTTTTCAGCTTCAAAGCTGAAATTTTCATCATCAATCTCTACAGATTCTACATTAACAAGCTTAATATCTTCCAGGATTGTACTGGGAGATTTAAATGTTTCTGTTACTGCATATTTGTCGGATACTTCTGCCTCAATAAGCTTAATGTTTTCTTGGAAAGCAAAGAGCACAATATCCATTTCCCTGGCAGAACCCTCTTTCAGTTCGTGCTTAAAAAGTGAGTAAATCACATTTCTTGCCTCACCAATGGAAGCTCCAATAATATCCTTCAGTTTTTCAGGTAGGTCATCAAAGTTCTCATACTGGTTTTCTAGAATGGTTCTCAAGAATCTCAGTCCCTCGTAGACTCTATGTATTTCATCTGTCTTAGAATCCATTAAACTGGCACTGCAGTTAAGTATCTCCCAAAGATTACCCAGGAAAGCATCGACTAAGCGTCCCAATATGTGCTTATTCATCTCCTTATTCATAGTGCATGATGATCCTGACAAATCTGAACCCATGAGGACTTGCATGTAAATCTCACGGACTGGAGGATCAACGGGGTTGATCATCTGTAGCAGTTCCAAAATCTTATTTTGCACTTCATTCAACACTTGTTCATCTTTTACGTCTAACCAACATACGGAAAAGATGCGTGCTGCATTCAGAGCCACAAGATTGATGTGAGCTATGGCAGCTCCCGATTGCCTCTGCTCAACAACTCGTGACACACTGAAGCGAATCAAACTTTGGAAGAATCTTAGCTTCTGCTGCAGGTCTTTGCTTAGTTCTAGTAGGACTTGACCATCATCTCCATGGATGCAGAGAAGAAAATCAACCAGATTCTCTAGTGCAGAGTCCATTAATTCAATCAACTCAGATCCCATTAGACAATTACTAGTTTGCAACAGAATATTAGAGAATCTGAAGTAAAAATGGTTGATTTTTTGCCTGAAAGTTTCGATACTACGTCGAACTAGAAGAGACAACCTAAACAGCTTTTTACTCATTACTCTGCCCGATCTACGACAATAAGGTTGAAAATTGACTGCACTTTCATTGATAGCAGCTTCAAGTTTAGACATGAAAGATACTAGACTTACATGCTCATCACAGTCAGATTCAAAACTGCTCCATATTCTGGCGCAGAGGAGAAATGTCCTCAAGAGTCTAAACTCCCGCTTCAGTTTCTCAGCTATGTAAACATTTAAATCCCAAAGGTCATCCAGATTTTCCAAAGCATTCAAGACCGAATCCGCGCAGTTGGAGGAGGTGGAAGAGGCCATTTCTTGAGATGAAGAAGAACGATTAAATACTTTGTTCAATCTCTTTGTTCTACTATCTGGAAATCGTTGAAGCTTTAACCCAATCTCGAAGCAATAGAAGGCCTAACAGTCTTGATGAGACCGTTGACTAAGTAAAATGATGTGTACGACTGTGGACAGTCATTTGATTTGGTTAGGCAATTGATGATACAGACATGAGAAGCTTCCAAGTATGTGCCTTTTCCAAAAACAGAAATTATTTGAATGAGTTGATTTCTGAGAAATTTGCAAACACCTAGATACGTTGTTCCATCAGTAGCGAAAAAAATTTAAAGATTGTGTCATAACACAGTTGGATCTGTATACCCATTAGCCTCCTTTCATAGCCTCCTTAAACTCCCCTCCCCTTACATTAGGATAGAGTAGATTATATAAATATATCGTTGCTGATAAAAAAAAAAATACGTTTTCCCACTATTTTTTTTAAAAAAAATTATCCTACATATTCATTTATGGAATTAAAATTTCATTTACATTTATCGAAGTAAAATTTTTTTAAAAAAAGATTTAGTAAACATAATGAAAAAACTTAGTAAAATATAACCATAAAGCATCGACAAAGTTGAGGCTCTATACGTAGTCTAACTTTTTGAAAACGTTACTCTATAATAAGACGAGGTGATTAAGAAGAAATAGAATTAGAATAATCTATCAAATATAATAAAAGGAGAGTGTCTTCTACTGTAACATGCTGTCCTCGAGACAAGTGACTGGTCCACTGTTTGACACTTGGCACATCCTCCATATTTTGAAGGATCCTAACCCAAATAATTCTTTGCTGCACCTTTGTGGTGATGAACCACAATAATTTTCTGCATGTTATCCGAAAAAGGCCTTTTGGTACTAAGAAGACATGGGTTCACTTGTTTCTTCCAAAGGATTATACTCAATTGATAATATGGGCTCGTTTGAAAGGTGAATTTTTTAGGTGTTTGTATAAAACTTTACTGTAAATTACTGTAGAAATTGTAGAAAAATTTTTGTAAGATGAAAATTTTTTTCTTTTTCATTTTTCTTTTTTTTTTTCTTTCTTTCTTTTTTCTTTTCCTTCCCTCCTTCCCGCTTTTTCTCCTTTCACCTTCCTTCCCATGCTTCCTCTCCTAAGACTTCCATGGCTACAACTTACAGCAAAGTTTTTTTTTTTTTTCTTTCTCTTTCTCTGTGCCTCCCCGCCATCCCTCTCCTCCCCTTCCCCGCCACCCCACCCTTCCCCCTCTCTTCCCTCCCCTACCACCCTCCCTCTTCCCTAGCTACAATCTGGTCGCGCAACCAGATCGCAACCCCCTCCCTCCCCCACTAGACTCACTCCTCCGCTGTAATAAAATGACTCACTCCTCCGTATATAGGAAAAAGTATAAGGCGTTCAAGTTTCGCTTGAACAATCCAAGCAGAAGGAGCACCAGAAAGGTAAGCTGCCCTTGGTTATTAAGAAGCCTGTGGTTTCTGAGATTTCGGAAAAGCATCAGCAGCAACTAGTCCAGTCAGTGGTGCCCGGTGTGGCTGGCAGTTCGGGTGCCAAAAATGATGATATTCAGGTAATAGAGCATGATTTGCGTCAGGGGTTCAGAATCGAACCCTCGCACCGAGAGAAAATCAGAATGCTTTCAAAAAGACAGAGACAGAGAAAATCAACTAGCATTTGCGATGCTAGCAGGAGGGGGAGGGTGCCGGGGGTGGCAGAGGCGAAGAGAGGAGGGGGAAGGGAGAAAGAAAAAAAGAAAAAGAGCACCAACAAATCGGTCAAAGGGAGAAGGGAGAGGGGGTGAGGGAGAGAAAAAAAAAGAGTTTGGCTGGAACTGGCCACCGAAATAGTGACCGGCGCCGGAAGTGGTGGTGAAGGTGGTGGCCGACGACAAAGTGCGTGGTAGGTTGGGTGGGGGAGGAAAAAAAGAAAAGTTGAAGAGAAAATTTTTTGTGTATTTTTTAAGTGTGTGTAGGTTAAAAATTTTGATAAATTTTTTAGGTTCATGTAGCAAAAGTTGTTAAAAAACTAGTATTATACAAACTTGGTAAAAACTTGAGATTCCAAACAAGCCCATGGTTTCTTCTTGTGCTGTCTAATGTATAACCATTGCATCAGGATTTGCAAACTAATGTTAATTTACACCCATTGGATTATGATTAATTAAGTTCTAACCTGTTACGTATTTTGTGATAGATGAGTTGATTGATTGGAAATATGTTTTAGCCGTTTCTTGAGCTAAAACTCTGACTTTTACAGAGAAGAACAACTATCCCCCTACTTGATTAATCCTCAACCATTAATCAACCTAGAGATTAATCATGGATTTGATGCTTCCTTTCCACCATTTTTGGTTTGTTGGGAAAGCGGTACCGGTATAGGTAAGCCTGTCAACGGTCCGGGTCTAGACCCAGACCTGACCCGGATCCGTGAAATTATTGCGGGTATGGGTAGGGATTTAATTCCATTACCCAGACTCGGATCCGGATCCGAATCCGTTTTGTCAAACAAAAAAATAGGTCGGATACGAAATATAGTATTCCGATCCGTATTATACTCGGGTCCGGATATAAATAGATTAATAATTTAAAATATGTATATTTATCAATATAATTTGATTAGGGTGATATATTTGAATAAAGTCAATTTAATTTATTTTCTTATTTGGTTTTTTTTGTATTAGTTAGAAATTAGTGTACAAATATATTTTTTTCTCATTTTTATTAGAAATTGTAAATTTTCATAATTTTTTTCGGGTAGATCTGAACCCTGATCTATCGAATCTAGATCCGGAACATAAAGTAGAAGACCTGTCGGGTAAACGGGTCGAATCCGGATCCGATTTGGTATGCCGAGTTTGGGTCCGGGTCTGGAATAATGAATTTCGACCCGAACCCGACCCGTTGACAGGCCTAGGTATAGGCACACAATATCAGGGTTAGCCCAAAATAAATTTCTCTTTCCCCAAATACCAACTAAAATAGAAATAAACCAAATCACCAAATAATAATACCAACAGTGATAATAAAATGCAAGAAAAATAAAACGCACAGGACACCAAGATTTTTATGTGAAAAATTCAAATTGAAAAAAATCACGGGATCTAATTTAGTCAAAATCTCCACTATCACAATAATGGGAACACACAGGTCTACCCGAAATATTCGGATGACAATAATATCACCAATACCAAGCAGGCAAAATTGCTACAAAATCACCCCTAAAAATCTACAACTATCAAAGAAGTGGGTTTGAAAAGATGTTATCAAATGAAAAGAAAATCTGAAATCTGAACAGGTAGATAAGTAGAACTTGACGAGAGGATCGCGTGTGTGAAATTTCATTTCAATCGGACTTCAAATCACTTTCCAACTGAGGTTTCAAAGTTGCAAAAAATTTTCTCTCTCTAGCTTTCACTCTTTCTCTCTCTTCGTCTCCCTCTCAAAGTGGCAGCAGTAGCCTTTGTTCTCACACCAGGATCGAAGAATGAATCCATCATGCGGCTGCTCACTTTTCTTTTTAGGTCAAATCTTGACTTAAATCTAAAAGTGTTTGGTTTTGTTGTTTGGCCCCACAAATGGGCTGGCTCACAAACCCAACAATCTCCCCCTCCAGTTCATTTGGGGGATTCCACCAAACTTTCTTCATGTCTGTAAAATAAGAGTTTCTCCTTAGGTAATAGCTTGGTAAACATGTCAGCACCATTATCATTTGTATGCACCTTCTCAAGTGTCAATAACTTGGAATCCAATACTTCTCAAATCCAATGATATCTCACATCAATGTGTTTGGACCGAGAGTGAAATGTGGAGTTTTTACACAAATGAATAGCACTCCGATTGTCACAATAAAGGTTGTACTTTTCTTGCTTTATATCCAACTCCTGAAGGAATTTCTACAACCAAAGAGTCTCCTTGCATGCTTTAGTGGTTGCGATATACTCTGCCTCCGTACTGGAAAGTAGGGGTGTGCATCGAATTCGAAATCGATAATTCGGAAGTTTGAATTCGAAATTTTTCGAAATTTTGGTATCTGATAATTTGACCGAATTCGATTTCGAATTCACCAATTCCGAATTCGAATTCGTACCGAATTCAATTCCGAATTCAGTAAATTCCGATTTCACCAAATTTGAAAAAATTTATATATTATTATATAATATAAAATTTATTATATTTATTAAAAACGAATTGTGAATTCGAAATTGAAAATTCCGATTTGAAAAACTCCATTACCGAATTCGAACCAAATTCGAAATATATGAATTCGGAAAACCCGAATTCGATTCCGATTTCCGATTTACCGATTTTGAAAATTTCGAATTCAATTGGAATTCGGTCGGTAAATCGAAATTTTTCGATTTTGCACACCCCTACTGGAAAGGGCGATATACTTTTGTAACTTACTTTGCCATGATACTGCTCCCCCTGCAAAAATCATTAAGTACCCAGATGTGGACTTCCTTTTATCAAAATCACCTGCCATATCTGCATCGATGTACCCATCTAGTATAGTTTTACCATTGCTGAAACACAGACACAATCTAGAAGTTCTCTTGAGATACCTGAAAATCCATTTGATAACATTCCAATGCTCCTTACCAGGATTAGAGAGATACCGATTCACTACTCCAACAGCATTAGCAATATGTGGTCTGGTACAAACCATGGCATACATCAAACTATCAACAGTCGAGGTATAAGGAACATTTTTTATATTTTCTTTATCTTTTTCACTTGTAGAACACTGTTTGATATTCAGTTTAAAGTGACCCGCAAGTGGAGTTGAGAATTCATTAGCCTTACTCATGTTAAACATGTTGAGTATTTTCTCAATGTATTTTTCTTGAAACAACCAGACCTTCCCATTTTGCCTGTCACGTGAGATTTTTATTCCCAATATCTGTTTAACCGGACCCAAATCTTTCATTGCAAAGGATTTACTTAACTCCTTGTTCAACCTGTCAATTTTTATAGTATCACGGCCAACAATCAACATGTCATCAACATACAACAAGAGGATAACAAAATCACCATCTAAAAAATTTTTCACATAAATACAGTGATCAGATATAGTCCTGTGATACTTGTGGTCTGTCATGAAGGAGTCAAACTTCTTATACCACTGTCTCGATGCCTGTTTCAACCCATATAAGCTCTTATTGAGACGACAGACAAGATTTTCCTTGTCACTTTTTTTGAACCCCTCTGATTGTTTCATGTATATCTCCTCTTCTAAGTCACCATGTAGGAATGCTGTCTTCATATCAAGTTGTTCGACCTCCAAATTTAGATTGGCTGCAATGCGCAGAACAACTCGAATTGACGACATCTTTACTACAGGAGAGAAATTTTTTTCAAAATCTACGTCCTTCTTTTGACTAAATCCCTTCACAACCAATCTTGTTTTGTACTTTGGTTATGAGCTGTGCTCCTGAGTTTTCAACCTGTAAATCCGTTTGTTCTTCAGAACTCTCTTACCCTTATGCAGTTTCACTAAATCATAAGTATGATTCTCATGCAGGGACGTCATTTCCTGTTGCATGGCTCACAACCAATTTTCTTTATTCTCATGCTCTAAAGCCTCACAGTAAGACTATGGCTCTCCTTCATCTGTTAACAACACATATTCATTAGAATTATATCTGCTAAAAGGTCTCGTTTCTCTGATAGATCTCCTAAACTCATCTTGTAGTGGCGGTAGTGGAGTAGGTGGCGCCTCATGCTCAGGTTTATCAACAGTAGGATTATCACCATTATTAACATCCTCTCTCAGCTCTGTCTCAGTTCCCCCTTGATTAAAATCAACAGGTACTGGAATTGAATCTAGATCTGAATTTAAACAAACAGGAATGTCATTTGAATATTTTGAATTGTCATCTTTATCAATGTCTTCAATGATTTGATCTTCAAAAAAGACAACATCTCTACTCCAGATCACCTTCTTCTCAATAGGATAATACAAGTTATAACCAAAATCTTCATGTCAATAACCCAAAAAAATACATTGTTTTGATTTTACATCAAGTTTTGACCTCTCATCTTTAGGAATATAAACAAATGTCCGGCAACGAAAAACTCTCAAGTGCTTAAAGAATATATCTTTTCCTGTCCATACTCTCTCTGGGATGTCACCATCTAAAGGAACTGATGGAAAAGGATTAATCAAATCGACCGCAGTCCTCATTGCCTCACCCCAAAAGAATTTTGGCAACTTAGCATTAGAGATCATACATCTGACCCGTTAAGTGATGGATCTATTCATCCTCTGCTACTCCATTTTCTTGAGAAATTTTTGACACAATCTTCTCCAATCTGATCCCACGGTACTTGCGATAGATTTCAAATGGTCCTCTGTACTCGCTACCATTATCAGCACGTACACACTTTAACTGCTTATCAGTTTCTCTTTCAACTTTATTATGAAAATCTTTAAACACATTCAAAACCTGATCTTTAAATTTCAAAACAAAACACCAAACCTTTCTAGTAAAGTCATTAATAAAAGTTACAAAATAAATAGCACCACCAAGAGACTTATCTTTCATATAGCAAACATTAGTGTGCACCAATTCTAACAGATTCAATTTTCTAGATGGAGGAAAATTTTAAAATGCAACTCTATATTGTTTCCCATAAATGCAGTCAATACATGGTTTAAGTGCATTACTTATAACTTCGGGTAGGAGCTGTTTGCGAACAAATGTCTGAATCTCTTTTTCACTCATGTGCCCAAGTCGCCTATGCCAAAGGTCAATTGATGAATCACGAACTGCATTGACTTCTTCCTTCCCCAACTTGACTTGCATCAAATAGAGGATACTCTACTTCTTCCCTCTAGCAACAATGAGATTTTTTTTACTAAATTTTCATTTGCCTCCACCTTGCAAGTTATGCTAATCCTTATTATCAAGTTTTTCAGTAGAGATAAGATTAAGGCGAATATCAGGGACATGTCAAGTATTTCTTAATATCAGTTGGCACCCGGTATCTGTATCCAAATATGTCTCCCATGCCAACAACTTTGCATGAGACCTCATTTTCCATCCTAACATATCCAAAATCTCTTTCGAAGTAGGTTGAGAAGAAATACATGTGAAGAGTAACATGGTAGGATACATCCGAATCAACTACCCAATCATTGTCATAATGAATAATATTCACTTGACCATCATCACAGAACACAAACATATCATCATAAGCTGTGTAAGGACCCAAAAATTTCTTTAAATTTTTTTTCATTTTTGAAACATTAATTTATATTTCCTTCTATATTTCTTTATTTGACTATTTAACTATTTACTAATCCTAAATTTCATGGTGGTTTCATTAGTTGAGTCAAGAGTTTTAATTTTATTTTTAAAATTAGAGTAAGTTAGGATTTTGGTACATTTTGGTAGTGTGATCGATTGATGAGATACGTGTACTAAATTTAGTGGATAAGAGTGAGTATTAGGTAAAAAGAAGTGTGTGATTAGAAGTGCTAATATTAAGTTAGTGAATCATAAGTTAAAACAAAAGTACAAGGGAATTAAAGAAAATAGGCTTAAACCGACGTGCATCATTTGTTACCGATTGAGTACATCACTTGACCAATATTTTCTTGCCTTAATCTCCTTGATTTTATTTCATCTAATCATCCCTAAATTACCCCTTACGTCAGCTGAAATTGCTGACCCAAAAACAAGAGGAAAGAAAAAAAATAAGAGGAAATTGGTGGTGACAAGTGTTGGCAATTCAAGCCAACTTTAACCAAAGACCATTCTAGTATTTATCTTGTAAATTCTTCTCAAAACCTTTTCATTTTCTTCCTTCTTTGGCCGACCCTTAAAGAGAAAAAAGAGAGGAGAAAGCTTTACAAATCATATTGATCTTGCCTTGATTTAATAAGAAATCAACAAAAATCACAAATCTAATCTGAACAAAGGTGCAGCAAGGTGATAAGGAAGCTTGAGGTGAAGTGATTTTGTATAGGCAGCCTTGATTTTGTATTTTTCCTTGAAAATTCAAGGTACCAAGCTATGAAACTTTCTTTCTTTTTCTTATCCTGCAATTTATGGAGAATATGTCTCGAAATTAAAAGTTTTATGGAAAATATCATGAATTTGTGAAGTTGCTAGAATTTTTCAATTTAGGTTTCAAAATTTCAGTTTGGGTATTTGTTTATATATCAAGTATATATTGAATTTGGTTAGTCTTTGCTATATAGAATATGTACCAATTGTCTTCTATAAGTTATGAGCTTGATTTGGGGCTGTTATACTATGAGATTGTAACCTTGAAAATAGTTGGAAAATTTGATAAACACAACGGAAGTGTTGCTGAAAATTTTTTCCTCAGGAGACTCTAAACAATCTTGGAAAATCTGTCATATCTTAGTGTAGAAAAATTCAAATTGAGTTCCACTTATTGCGTTTGAAATTAGATTCAGAGTAATTTCTATCGTGAAAATTTTAAAATTTTCCTCAATTCTTAAGAATATCTGTGATTTTTCAAAATTAACTAAATTTCCATTCCTGTTCTGTCTTTCTACTGGATAAAACAGCCACTTGAGATTGAATTTTGATTGACTTGTGGACAGAATCTTGCAAAGGTGTCTTCTGAGAAATTATAACTCTTTGAATCTATTCTCCAAGGGTATAAAGTTTATAAATTTTGGATTTAAAGAACTTGAGATATGATTTTTCAAATAGTATCGCGCAAAACTGGAAATATTCTGTTTTCCTAAAACTGTCCTTACTTTCATTTCCAACTTTAAGTTGGAGTTGTTAAACCATTTTAAACTTGGTTTATGATTGGAATGAGAAAATTCTTGGTTATTCATATTCCATGGGTCTAAATGTTCTATTTTCACTCCAAAACCATATTTGAACCTTTGTACTAGTAGTTACTCGAATTTTCTTTGGTTCACCTAAACTTTGGATGGTTGAACCATAATATTTTCTCTTAATTACTCTTAGGATTTGTCGGTGATCAAGGGCATAATCCGGAAGGAAACTTTTGACGTTATTTTACTTAAATTAGTAAGTGTTCTTTGTGCTTCCAATGACTATGTGAATTGTTGTGAATATTTGCTTGAATGTTAAATGCTTTTGAATGATTGTTAAATGAGTTTTCGATAGGTGAGTGTATACTTTATCGCACTCGATCTAAGTGAACGTGAATTTTTCAAGGATTAAATGATCGAATGCTACTTGTACATTAATGTAAGCCTTTTGGCTGAATTGGACCCTTGCTCTTCGTTGCCAGTTGATGCGAACCAGAAGTGGATTCGGTCGGGCGGTTGGTGAACCTAGAACAATATTTGGTATACTCGAGTATTACCATGAAATTTGGCGAAGAACTAGCTAGTGAATTCAATGCAATGATATTGATGAATGAATGGCAAGATCACTGAAGGAGTTTTCACTTGCAAACGTTTTTTAATGTTGGAGGGATAAGGAAAATAGTTGGCGAATGAATGAATGAATGACTTGAATGAATGGCTCCAAGTGAGCATGTATCCTTCTAATGATTGAGTGTTTATTTCTTGAATGATTGGGTATTACTATGCAAAGTATGCAAATTGTTAAATGTAATGTTTCTATGGTTTCCCTACCTGATTGCTTGTTTGGGAATCTCATTGGATTTTTAGCTCATTCCTTTAGTTTTTGTTTTCCTTATAGGAATGGAGGTCTAAAACAATTAAGTGTGACCTAGAGTGTATAACCCTCTTGTACTTGTACTCTTGGTTGATAGGATGTATTTTGACATTTGACGTTGTATCATACATTTGGCTTTTGGGTTATAAAAAAGTTTGCATTTTGGTTGAATTGTAGAACTTAAATGTTATTTTGGAGGCTAGATTGATTAATCTTGAGAGTCGATTGAGTAAAGGAGTGAGTCCTGACGAGAGTTGAACAGGTGGTCCGCCAAGCCCTTTTGGGTACGTTTTAGGGGGAGGTGGGGTTGTCACAAGCTGTCACAACTGTTGTAATCTCTTCATCACCTTTTTCCTTCGTCTTACCCTTTTTTTTAGCTTGTTCCCGTTTTAGGATTCTGCATTCTTTCATATAATGCCCATTCTTCTTACAATAATAGCATGCAATATTTTTCCGCGACTCAGACCTGCCTCTGGATTTGCCATTCCTGTTGTGGAGTGTTCTACTTTTGCTTCTCCCTCTTCTTTCTTTCTTTTTTGTCACCAGGGCCTAGGACTCATAAACAATTTCTTGTTCTTTTCTCCTGAATTTTTCATTTATCACGGTCTCTTTTGCAATAGCCATGGTCAACACACCATTCGAAGTTGAATTACTAACAGAGACCACCATGGTTTCCCAACTATCCGGTAGG